AAATGTGCAAATTCAAGTCTTCCTAAAACCATGATCCACCATAATTTCTGACTCAGAAAGCTCGTTTAGATTTATAACCATCAACAATGAAATCATACTTTTATATTATTTCCCTCTGTTATGTATTCTTTCTTATACACACACACACGCACACATACATATATTATGAAACTGTAATTGTCCTGAAATATATTTTATTCTCCTAAATTTTAAGAATTTCCAAATTACTGTTAGTGTCACTACCATCGGGAAAATGTAAATGTGAGCTATCTCTTGAAACCATACCTTAATACATGAAAAAAATATTCCTGGGCTATTGAAAACATTTTCTGACTATTCTTCTATTAATAATATCCTTCTAACAATAAATAAAATTTTCAGTTATTGAACACTTGGTCTCAGCCATGCACTGTGTAAGAAAAATTCTAAACGTCCATAATTATAAACTATTAAAATCATAACCAGTTAAAACTTATGATTGTCTCATGCGTGTGCATGCCCAAGATCCTGAGAGGAGAATGGAGGAGAAGGACTTGCGTTGTGGCCATCCTCCCTGGGGGGTGTGATTTCTCACTTTCTGTCTCTCTGTCTGTCTTTCTGGAGAATGCACATGCTCAATAGCAAAAACCTCTCCAAAAATAATAATAATAATAATGATAATAATAATGATATCCAGATGATGGCATAGTGATTAAGTCACTGAACTCCCAAATAGTCGACCATGGTTTGAGTCCTGGACTTGGTGCTTAAAACTCACACCAGACACATGTATGTGCATGCCCAAAACATTTAGAGGAGAATGGAGGAGAAGGGATTACAACATGACCATCGCCCCTGGGGGGTGATATCTTACTTTATGTCTCTATCTCTCTCTGTCTCTCTGGCAAGCACATGCGCTCCCTATGGCAAAAATATTTAAAAAAAAAAATGATAATGAAGACCAGCAGTTGGTATAATAGTTATGTCACTGGACTCCCACATAGTCAACCATAGTTCAAATCCCAGACCTGGTGACTTAAAACTCACACTGGGTGTGTGTACATGCATGCCCAATATTCTGAGAGGAGAATGGAGGAGATGAAATTGCAGCATGGTCATTTCTCCTGGGGAGTGATTTTTCACTTTCCATCTCTCTCTCTTTGTCTCTCTGGTGAGCACCAGTGCCCTATAGCAAAACTCTCTCAAAAAATAAAATAATGATAATGTATAAAATTAAATAAATAATTATTTTTTTAAATCTTGACTTTTGGATACACTGAAACTAAAATATGCATGAGATGGAGATATTGAGTCTCCAGTTGACCCTGAGGTCATATACTCAAGAGACATTTCTAAGTATTACCAGAGGTGAAGGCAATTGGAAATGAAAGTATGACTTTCATATTTTATATAATCTGCCTGACTTTCTGGGTCAAATCCTAGACTACCTCTCTTTTTTCAAGACCTTAAAAGTTTCTGATACAGGGAACCAGCAGTTAGCATAATGGCTATGTCGCTGGACTCCCACGTAGTCAACCACGGTTCGTGTCCCAGACCCGGTGGCTTAAAACTCACACCGCGTGTGCATGCGTGCCCAAGATCCCGAGAGGAGAATGGAGGAGAGGGGATTGCGGCGTGACCATCCCCCCCCTGCGGGGTGATTTCTCGCATTCTGTCTCTCTGTCTCTCTCTGTCTGTCTGGTGAGCGCATGTGCCCTATAGCAAAAACCTCTCAAAAAAAAAAAAGTTTCTGATACAGATCTCAATACACAGAAAAAGATTCACTTGTAGTATAAGAATAGATGTTTCCATTTTAAATCTTGACTTCTAACACCAAACTTTACTAACTGGGCAGTGTTGGTCTGTTTACTGAGCCCTTCCTGAGTTCCGTGTTGTTTTTTAAGAGGGAAATATAAAAATACCTATCTCACAGGGTTGCTATGAAGACTAAATAAAGTACCATAATATATGAGAATGTACTTTACAGCTCCAATGGCTCCAAATAGTATGCAGATCTGATACTAATGACATGTAGTTGCTGTTCTTTATCATTCAGGGTACATATGTGGTGTTTGCATACACACACGTGTGTGTTGGATCTCCTCATGGTAATTCGTTGTTTTCTGTTACTGCACTGGAAGTGGTAAGATGAATATTTTACTTACATGTTGGGCCTAATTTCTTTTCTTTTTTTTAATAGACCATAGACTAGTTTATTTTTAACATCCATCATACCATGAATTCATAGGGAATAGATTCCAGAAGCTCAGGTTCCTTTCCATTGGTTCTCACAAACTATGCTTCTCTGGGTGGAGCAGGCTATCCCTTCAGTTGAACCCAGGCACCTTTCTCTTTACCTTCCTTTTTTTTTCTGATCATTTTTCTTCACACATTTTAGGAAGCTATCTCTGTTCTTAGAATGCTTAATCTGCTCAATACATATATTCATTCTCTTGGCAAGAATCTTGCCCTTATTTGTTTACAACAATGCCAACAGCATGCTGAGTAACATTGTAGACTCTTCCAGTTTTGCCATGGTGACATTTGTGGGGCACTCCTTTTTAAACAGTACTCATGTCCTTAATGTCTACAAGGCCACCTTTCTTGTAGGTTAGCATATATGTTAGAAACATAAAGTGGGTCCTAACTTCTAAGCAAATACTCACATAGAAAGAGGAAGGGAAATACACTCTATCCCCAGGCTGTTACTAAAATTGCGCAGTTTAATGAACAAATGAATGGATCATATCTCTGCTCTTGAGACTTTCCCATTTGTTCTAAGACTCAGACTTTCCCTCATTAGGTACAGTTGTCTGTGGCAGGGAAAGTCATGAGGCATGAACAGCATTCACATACAGGGGGATTTTTGCAAAATCCGTGCCATTTTCTAGGTTGTTTGGAGCTGGAGAATCTGGTGGCTTCCATACACTTGTCATGCACATCATTGACATGTGTCCACTTTCTCTATTTACTAACTGCTGATGCATCAGTTCAGGTCTCTGGTGTCCCACACATGGATTACTACAAATGTTTTTTTGCTTTTCAATGGGCTTTGTTCTGACATAATTCTTTTATCATTTCTCGGTCCTATCAGGACTTTGTGCACACACATGTACCCAGCACAGTTTTCAAACTGCCAGAGCTGGGATTTGAACCATGATCAGCCATGTGAGATCTTACTCTTCATATGTAATGCTTAACATCTGCATAATGGCTGGCCCACCTCTGGGTTTGTTTAATACCGTGTCTCTCTCCAGTTAGCCTCTTACCCTACTGTTCCCATTCTCAGTCTCTTTTGCTGGATTTTTACCAGTGTTTCAGAACTAAGGTCTCTATTATTTTCTGTCCACATTATATCCCTAAGTGCTTCCATTCAGCTAATGACTGCAAAGTGCCAATTGTATTCTGATGACTTCACAGGTACATTTAGCCCCTCCCCCCTGCTCCACAAACGATAGTGACTGCTTACCTGGCATCTTCAGCAGGGTGTCTAGGAGCAATCTGACTTTAAACACAGAGAAAACAAAGCTTCTAGTTTCCCCACCACAAACTCTCCCTTTTCTTTCTGTCTTGATGACTGATATCACCATCCACATAATGGCTCCAAATAGTTGAAAGAAGAAGAGAGAGCAGTCTTCATTCCTCTCTTGCTTTGGAACTCTGGTCATTTCAACCAGCAGTCCTACATGATATGGAGTATTTAAAATAGAAACACAAATGATCATTTTATCCAGTCAATAACTATTTATTCACTATCTTATTCACCTAAAACATAGGCATCCTCCTCTCCTACATCCTAATTTCTGAATCCCCACTTCCAATCCAGCAAGTCTAATACCACTTTCTCCCATGTTTTTCCTGAGTTGGATCTTTTTTCTTTTTCTTTTCATTTTTTTTTTTTTGAGAGAGATTTTTGCTAGAGGGTACATGCACTCACCAGACAGACAGAAAGAGACAGAGAGACAGAAAGCGAAAAATCAGCCCCCAGGGGGGATGGCCACACCGCAATCCCTTCTCCTCCATTCTCCTCTGGGGATCTTGGGCACGCATGCACACGCACCCAGCATGAGTTTAAGCCACTGGATCTGGACTCTAACTGCTGTCAACTACATGGGAGTCCAGCGACATAGTTATTACACTAACTGCTGGTCCTTAGTTGGATCTTTTTTCATCAAGTTGGGGTTAGTATCTCAGCTCCTGCAATTCTTCCTCACGTTCACTTCACTCCAGATGAGGGTTTCATTTTACCTCTTACATGTACTCTGCAGCAGTTGGACTCTAGGATGAACAAAATTTAGTCTGTAGTCTATTGGTTTTTCCCTTTCTGAAACACTTTCTCAATGATCTTTATGTGGCTATCCCCTTTAGGACATTTAACTCTTAATTCTTCAGAGACATTTCTTAATAATTCCAGCTGAAATAGGCTCCTCCTTCCCCCCCCCACTTACTCTACTGCTTATATTTCCTTTATAGTATTTTTCATTACCTGAAATATCTTGAATTCAATAAATTAATTAGTATTTGTTAATTACTAATTAATTTAATTAATTTGTATTAGCTTATATCTTAATCATTTATTAAAAGATAGTAAATAACTGATTATTGAATAAATAAAATCAGCAGTTGTGCTTCTATTTGAAATATCCTCCTATAATATAGAAAGTTGATTGAATTGGCCAGAGTTCCAAAGCAAGAGAGGAGTGAAAACTATTATATTTTTATATTCCAACTAAGCCATGCTTCTATATTAAGCAATTTTAATATTATAAACACATTTTATGGTAATATAATGATTTATTTTTTCACACACTATCAGATCAACCTTTAATTTTCTAAAAAATAATATTTTTGTGTTAATGATTTGCAATTTACTAGAGCAGAAACTTGAAATTTTAATTAAACAAATGAAATTTTAGCAAAACAACACTTGGCTCAACAAAAACTCTCTATGTTGACTGTAATCACAGAGAGTATAAACTTGTGATTTGGCCAAAAGACAAATTCATTGTGAAAGTGGTGTGTTGTGGTGATTAGCATGGCAATCAAATCAGCAGGGAAGAAAAATGCAGCTTGATTGGTTTATTATCAGAGTAATTAATATGTATGGAGGTGCAGTTGTCCATTAAAAACTGTGTATCACCCTGTGAAAATAAGAATAAACAAAGTCACTATCACTAACAAGTTTATGAATAATGACAACCACAAAAATAAGCAAAAAACATCCCCTTGACCTTTTGCTCTTTTCCCACCTTTTTGCACATTAAACATATCATTTGATCATTGTTACTTTCTGGAAGAATGTGAAATGTAGATTTAACAAATACCTCTATGTCAGACTTTATAAAAATGACTATTTGAACAGTATTAACCTACTTATCAATAGTCAATATGTGAGGTAGCTGGGTACTGCACTCACTTCTGCTTCTAAATGGCATCAAACAGCAAAACCAACCTCTGGTATGCACGGTTATGACCTCGTCACTGTGCTAAGCATTTTACATGTATAATTTAATATAATATTCACAAGAAGTACATGAGATATACTGTACTAGTTTCCTGAGAAAACTAAGGTTTTAAAATATTAAGTACTTTTCCCAAGGTAACAGAGGTCCACAATTGAAGTACGGGTTTGTCTGAAACCAATTAGGGTACTCCAGGGTCCATGCTCACTCTTTAATACTCTTATCTCCCCAGTTTTATCACAAAATGCTATCCTCAATGTTCATTACATCCTTTAAGATATAGTTTCCCATGCTTTCTGCATTCAAGTGGCCAGTGGAAAGAATGGATTCATTGCATCACTTGAGATGGGTAAAATAAGGGCTCTGGAGCTGGTTGGGACAGTGCAAGAAGAGGGGAGTGAAGAGGCTGCTAGGAGTGCAAGGCAACAAGAAGCAATGCCATCAGAGCAGGAAGTGATTGATCATGGTACTTGCATTTTGGCAAAAATCTATTAACAGTGTGGAGCTAGCCAAAATTCTAAAATAGATTCAGTATAAAATAATATTTTGAAAAGTACCTATTGCCTCTATCTATTTTAGTTATGAAAAGACAGTATAGGTTGTTTTTCTTCTCAAATTTAAACTAAATCAAACTGTAATTAACACAAACTGTAAGCCAAGTAAACTAAAATTTCAAATTAATTTTTCAAATTAACGGTGAAAATAATAATCCAGCATTATGCTTAATACTAACTTTTTTATTTGGTATGACTTGAAAATCTGAGCATGGATTTTTCCAAATCATGATTTTGAAAATGATTTTTCAAATTTATGGAGACTAAAAAGACTGTGTCTTAGGATTAATCAGGCAATTCAATTAAACTCAATTAAATCCTAAGCAATTCTACCCATCCATTATAAATATATGTTCATCATTGTCCCAGTCTGTTTTCTGTGATTATATCAGAACCTTAAAGACTAGGTGAATTTATTTATTTTTTTTTTAGTTTTTTACTATAGGGCGAGTGCGCTTGCCAGAAAGACAGAGAGAGAGACAGAGAGACAGAAAGCGAGAAATCACCCCCAGGCACACCACAACAATCCCTTCTCTTCCATTCTCCTTTCAGGATCTTGGGCACATACACATACACACTCCCGGCGAGAGTTTAAGCCACCGGGTCCAGGATTCGAACCGCGGTTGGCTACATGGGAGTTCAGAGACATAGCCATTACACTAACTGCTGGTCCCAAGACTAGGTGATTTTTAAAGATGATTAATTTATTTGGTTCATGGTTTTAGAGGCTGAGAAGTTTAAGGATATGGTGCCCTATCTAGAGGGGGTCACCCTGTGATGAAATGACAGAGACTGAAGCAAATGTTTGTTAAAGAAACCACAAGAGTGAGCTGAACTCACTTTTGTACCAACTTGTTCTCTTAAGCACTCACTCCTGGGGACCAGCAGATGGTGTAGTGGTTATGTTGCTGGATTCCCACATGGTTGACCATGGTTCCAGTCCTGGACTTGGTGGAATGAAAATCATGCCAGGTGCATGTGTGTGCTTGCCCAAGATCCCAGGAGGAGGATGGAGGAGGAAAAAATGGTGGCATGGCCAACCCCCCCTTCTTACTTTCCCTTTCACTATGTCTGTCTCTTTCTCTAGCAAGCACATGTACCCTAAAGCAAAAATCTAAGAAAGAAAAAGGTAACAATATTAATTCAGTCACCTCTTAAAAGCTTCATGTTTTAATACTGTTATATTAGCAATTATATTTCCAACACATGAACATTTGGGAGACACACTGAAATTATAGTAGGACTCATTTTTGTCAACATGGTAGACATGAAATAAATTAAGAACAAAAGCTAGCTCATCTGGTATTTGAAATTAAAATTAAAAACTGAGGCTGAATACTTTTAAATAGCTTGATACTAATGTCAAAGAAGAAATTGGAACTCACATCTAGTGGAGACGGCTAACGTGCCTATAGGTATTTATCATAGAATCATTTACCCATATATAAAAAGTAGAATCTGAGTAGACTGAGAAAAAATTTCAGTGCCGTCCTTTCTGTTTGTTTGTTTTAAATTGCCAGAGACTACACACTCTCACAAGAGAGAGGGAGAGAAAGCAAGAAAGCACTCCCTCTCATGGGTCATATTCACGCTGCAATCTCACCTTTTTCATTTTCCCCTCCAGTCAGAATTTTGGACACAAACACATATACATCTGGCATGTTTCTCAAGGAGCCAGGCCAGGACTCACGTGGTTAGACATTTGCAATCTAGTCACCTTAACCGGTAGGCAATGAGCTAACCCATAAGCACCATTCTTACATGATAAAGCATTAATAATATTTCTGAGATGGAAACAACAATCGCTAATAGGAGAGAGAAGTGAGACAGACTGGTAGAGTAGTGAGCTGTGGGAAGAAGATGAAAGCTTAAGTGATCTTACAAATGAAAGACTTTGTCATTTGTAGTTATTGAAAGAGAGTTGGACTTATTCCAATAAGAAGAAATAAAAATATTAAAAATTTGAACTCTTTTACCAGCTTCATGACAAAATGAAAGTGAGAGCTATAGAGATGTACCTAGAGGCTGCCAATTCAGTAGCTTGGCTGATAAAGAGAAGAGACAAGATCAGAGAGCTCAGTCGTTTGAAGTAGGAGCTACAGTGAGATTTATTTAAGTGCAGAAATGAAGAAAATAGTGATGGAGGGATTAGTGGGAATCAGAAACAGGTTGACTGGGGAAGAAAAAAGGTTAAGTAGAAAGTTATTTTTGAGATTAGGTGCTTGGGGATCTGGAAAAAAATGTAGCTGGTGATTTAAAAAATATATCTTCTGGGACCAGCAGTTGGCTTAGTGGTTAAGACACTGGTCTCCCACGTGGCCAAGAGTGGTTTGAATCTCAGACTCAAAGGCTTGAAACTCACTCTGGGAGCATGTCCACACTTCTGAGAAGAGAAAGGAGGAGAAGGGACTGTGCCGTGGCCATCCCCCTGGAGGTGATTTCCCGTTTTCTGTCTCTCTGTCTCTCTGTGTCTCTCCAGTGAACACACACATCTTATAGCAAAAATTTTAAAATAAAATAAAATAAACAATACCTGCTAAGGAAAGTTAATCCATGCACATAAAATAATAATTTTCTTATGTCCAGAGACAGACAAATCAACACTGACCAGGCATTCTTGTGAGATAATTCTTCCTTGATATGTATTTGTACATTTTTCTGATTTCTAGAATTGCTTCAAATTACAAATGCCACTTCCTGGACCAGTGATTCAGTCCCACAAAATAACTAGATGGGTGGAATAAAGGCAAGATATTATTATTACTATAATTTTAAATATGTTCCTTATAAATTATTGATGACTGTTATTTATTCATCATTCAATTAGAAATTCATATTGAAGTTAAGTGAGCTTCCTGAAGGACAATTTCTATTCTTGTACTAGCTGAAGAAACTTGGAAAAGCATAAGAACTTATGACTGACTGATTGTCTTAATATTCATAAAATGGAAAATGTGTGTCTGATGCCCTCTAGATTACATTAAAACGAGAATCGGCAACAACAGCAACATTAACAAAACTACTACCATAAAGCCTTCCTTTGGTGGATAATACCAAATGTCTAACAGTGGGTTGTAGTTAAGCCTTAAAAAAAGATAGTAGAGCCCAAATATTTAAATTTCTTAAAAACTACCACCAATGAGTTAGTGCATATAATTTGGAAATATTAAAAAGAAGATGCATATTGTTCATTATTTGCTAGGAATTTAACCCAAAACTACATATAAATGCTAAATAGGTGGAACACAATCGGAAGCTGTAGAGAATTTATTCTGCTTTAATGCTATATTCCTTTAATCCAAGATATTGAGAACAGTCAGACCTGAATTCCTTCCTTTGAACTATTTGCTGATGTCACATACTAAACCACCACGAACTGAGTCAAAGAGAAGAATCGGGGAATTTTTTCTTGACTCACTGGAGTGTGGAACCTGAAAGCATGAACCCTGGAGTTAGGATGTACAGGAAAGTTACCTGACCTCATTATTAATTTACTGAGTGACGTTTTCAGTCATTCAAGCCTCAAATGGAGATAATGAGAATATTTATAGTAGAAGATCTGGGTAGCTGTGGATAATGTATATATGAGAACTTGGCACTTAGCAAATGGCCAACTAAAGGTAAGGACAAGTCTGACGCGGAATGTTGTTATATTTCAGAATTTAAATGGGAAGATCGGACCACCACAGAAGATAAACGTACATGAGACTGAATTGGCACTTAGAAATATCAGTGTTGATGGGACCAGAGAGTTGTAGAGTGTCAAAGCACAACTCTGAGAAGCAGTCCCACGTAAGAAGGTTCCTGGTTCAAGTCTGGAAATCTGAGTATACCAACACAGGCTGGCCTATGATCGGGACTGGCTGACAATCTTATCACAGGATCTGTTTTCTTTCTCTTCTGTCTCTTGCTCATAGAAGATAAATAATCTTAAGAAAAATAAGAAATAAATATTGGTGTTATATTTATCATTAAAAAAATGTCTTTTTGTAATTGTTACAGCTGTATGTGAACTTTCTACACACCAAGAACTAGGTCAAACCATTCCTTAGCCCATTTTTTTTTTCCTGGTCTCAAGCAAAGATATGTTGACTTTCTTAACTTCTTACCTCTAACTTAATGAAAATAAAAAGAGAAATTTCAAAAAAGAAAAAAAAAATTCTGACTCCTTCCAACTTAATTATATGCAATGTCAAATTCTTCAAGGAGCAGCCACTAAAGTTCCCAAATTATTTGCCCTTTTTAGAATGCCTTCTATTAGTTTGGAGATCTGGTAGGAGGAGTAAGCCTGGGAGTAGAGAAGTTTTGAATCAACACTCTCAGGTTAGCATAAATGCAGGTGGGAAGGGAGTTTTTATTTTAGTTATGGTTTGGCTTGGATATTATCTTCCCTGGGTGAAAGGGGTAGATTGGAAGAGTTTTGAGTGGTTGAAAAAGACTGTATAGGCAAAAGCATAAAGGGTAGAGCAGAATAGGGACTAGCAACTATAATGTGCATAAGAATCAACAGGAAAGTTTGTTAAAACAGATTTCTAGACACGAAGCCCCAAGACTTTTAGACAGGAGGTAGATCTATGAATTGGCATTCCTAACAAGCTTCCAGATAATACAAACTGGCATGTAGAACATCATGGAGAATCACTAGAAGGATAAAAGGATCACCTGTCTGCTCTAGCACGGTCCTTTCTGTTTCTGTAGTCTACCAATGTTCATATTTGATAATACACCAGATACTTGATGTTAAAGAAGGTAAGTGAGAGAACAGGTCCCTTTCAGAAGGGTCATTTAAAATTATACCAATACAATAATAGCTATAATTTATGGTGTGACTTTCTTTCTCAAAACTAATATATACAATAGTTGAGTAAGATTATGAGGAAAGGATTTTTTAGAATAGAAATATGAGATGCAGATAGTTTAAGTAATCTGTCCAAAGTGAGGCAGTGAATGAATGGTGGAACCAGGAATCAAACTTGTAATTTTGAAATAGTAAAATCTACTCTTTCAGTGGGATATACCAACTCCAAAAATGTAAGTTATCAGCTGATCGTACCTCTAGAAATGAGACCAACAAGGAAAAAATGAAGAAGTAAGCAGATTAAGCAGGTATGGTTGTAGACAACATCTTACTAAATCTTCCAGTGTCTGACTTTTGCAAACATTCTTATTTATCTAAAAATCTCATGACAAGTTGTCATAATGTACTGAGGATTATAACTCACTTTTATACTTGTGTGTGTGTGTGTGTGTGTGTGTGTGTGTGTGTTGTGTGTGTATGTGTGTGTCCAAATTTTCTAAGTAAGGTATACAAAATTTACAAGATATTTTACTCAGGTTTTAAAGTCAAATAATTAAGCCAGCCAGATGGTGTAGTGGTTATGGTGGCTAGATAGAACATGTCTGACTTCTAGTTTTGACTCCAAACCCAGTAGCTTGAGAAACACACCAGGTGTGCGTGTGTGTGTGTGCACCCAGAATCCCAAGAGGAAAGTGAAGAAGGAATTGTGATGTGGCCATCCTCTGTGGAGATGATTTGTCACTCTCTCTTTCTCTCTGGCCCTCTCATATCTCTCTGGCAAAAGTATGTTTTCTCCCTCTTTCCCCTCCCCCCTCTCTCTCTCCTTTCTCTGGCAAATGCGTGTGCCCTCTAGTCAGAAAAAAAACTTAGAAAAAAATACTTAAAAACAGTGAACATTTCCAAATATACACATGTCTCACAGTGTACAGAAAAGGTTCTTGAACATTTCTATTTTTCAATTTTTTTCTCTAGACGTTTTGAGAGTTAAGTCATTAATTTGTGCTTCTATTTCCCACAACTAAATAAAAATTCTTTATGTTCCTATTTAAAATCCACACTTCATTCCTATAGAACATTTAGTATTCTTTTCTAAAAAGATGACTGGACCTAAGAGAAAGAATTCACTTTAAGTGTTTGCTGTAATTAGTAATGATTTATAAAATAAAAAGAAAATTAAAAATCAAGTACATAATATAGTTGTACAAGTAATGAGTTTTGTGTTAGAAAAAGTAGAATTTGGGAATCAGCAGTTAGCGTAATGGCTATGTCGCTGGACTTCCATGTAGTCAACTGTGGTTCGCGTCCCGGACCCGGTGGCTTAAAACTCATGCCAGGCGTGTGTGCATGCGTGCCCAAGATCCCAAGAGGAGAATGGAGAAGAAGGGATTATGGTGTGACCATCCCTCCTGGGGGGTGATTTCTCACTTTCTGTCTCTATGTTTCTCTCTCTCTGTCTGGCAAGCGCACGTGCCCTATAGCGAAAACCTCTCCCCCCCAAAAAAATTAAATAAAAAAGAAAAAGTAGAATTTGAATTCCAATTCTGTTTTGGATATTTCCCTTTGGTATTCCTTTAGTTTTTCATATCTTCAGTTTAGTTTTTCATTAAACACTTGGGTCCTGCTTCAGTGACACAATTGGCGGGACACCTCTTGGTTTGGCTGGGACCATATGAGAAGCCTGGGTTTAAATCACAGACCAGCCTAAGCTCCTATATCCTGGCTAATGGGGAGTCTGGTGCAGGGGCTCAAAATGGTGAGACCCTGTCACAAATCCTCTCTCTTTTCTCCTTCTGCATGTGTGTCTGTCTCACTCTCTCCTCTCTCTCGTTATCATAAAAATGAAAACTGAGAATATTATTCTTATATAGGTTATTGTGGAGGCTACTGAGATTACCAATAGATTTTCTAGGAAAAGGTATTAGGTTGGCATTCAATAATGACAGCTGTTTCAATGATTATTATTATTTATTATTATTATTATTATTTTAATGCTTAGCCTCATATTTGTGTCATTTTTCTACCACAGGTCTGGTTTGGCACTCTAACTCTTCCTGTTTGAATTCGAATTAGACTCCTGGCTGAACCACTATTCTAATTTCATCTGTCTTTAATTTCAAGTAGAATCATTTTAAAATGTGGACTCAGTGTCTGTTGTCTCTGTTCTAAGGACATAAGCTGGGATGTCACTGACTTTCATGGGTACCTACACCTATTAAGCATGTCTTGTGTGGACATGTAGTTTCTCTTGCTCATTATACACCCACAGAAACAACTTTCTATTGCTATTAAGTGAAGATGCCAAAATTCAGAGAAATCAAGCAAGAGTCACACAGTCCCACGAGACTAGTCAGCAGAGTTGAGATAATAAAATGCCGAGCTTGAGTAGTGATTAGAGAATAAAGCATAGCTTCCTAAGGAAAACATAGGAGGCATCTCTTAATGCTGTCCAGCGTTTGTCCTCACCACTTGCTCTGTCCATTTATATCTCTGTGATAAGTCCAGGAGGAACAAATGCTGTTCCTCCTGCTAGTGTGTCCCTTCACCTCTTTCCCCTGAATATTACTTATCCTTTTAAGATCTAGCTTCCAGGGGCTCCTCTTTGAAGCTTCCCTGGAATCAGACAGAATGTTTCTTTCTGGCTCCATGGTAACCAATGCTTATACTTCCACAATTGTCCCAACCCCCATTATATTGGGGTTCTAATGTCTGCCTGCCTTTTCCATGAAACTCTGTGTTGTCAGGACAGGAACTGTCCATGTCTACCTTTGTGATCCCATAATTAGAGCAATAAGCAATACTTGGGAGGTTTGCAATAAATTAATGTGTGATGGAAGAATCAACAAATGGATACATAAAAAATGTAGAAGGATAAACAAGAACCCTAGTTTTACTAAAATATCAGTCAAACTGCTATCATAAAATTGATGCAAAACCATATTTTTATGTACATGGATTTCTGAAGAAAGATAGAATCTACAAAGAAGCAATCTACAAGGCAAAATAAAGTAACTCAGTGAATAAAGTCATTATGTTTGTTATAGTTGGTAATACAATTTTAGTCTGTAATTTCATTGCATAGATGGCTAATTATTATATTGCAATTTTTTCCAAAGAGTGAAAAGCAAGTAATTAAAAATAATTTCACAAATTCCTAATTTAAGAAATCTTTTTTATGAGAAGTATAGTTTACAAACATATGGAGAAAAATAGTTAGATCATGAAAATATACAAGTGTGTATAAAATTAGAAAATCTAATACTAGAAATCATTCTAGTAAAAATTTACTATAGAAAAGATAAACATAAATTATATTCATAAATATATGGGGAAAATATGTGAAATGAAGAAGAATGATTGTTAAGAAGGAGGCTATGCAGATGACCTTGGAAATGGGTTCAGAGGATGAAAAAGCTCAGAACTTTGGAGTCCAGCGACAGATAAAATACACATTATAGGACACTTCCCTTTTATAAAAATGTCTATTGTGGGGCTTAAAGTTACAGAAATAATGCACTACTCAAAAGAAACCAGATCCTACATTGGACTGCTGTTTAAGTCTCCAACTTGGTTTTCTGAAACAGGCAGGTGCACGAGTGCCCGAGATCCTATGTCTAGAGGACAGGAGGAAAGATTCCATGGAGTGTGCACATCTCTCTCTTTCTCTCTCTTTCTCTCTCTCTCTTTCTCACACACACACACACACACACACACACACACACACACACAGATGTGCATGCACAATATCATAAATCAAAACAAAGAACATGTAACAGTTTATTGAGTTTAGAAAAAGCCTCAGTCAGTCACCTCTTCTTTTCTTCTTCTGTAGTGTCTAGAAGGCCCTAGTATCTGCCAACTCTGCCCTTACTGAACCTTACATCCACCTGGTGCACATGATGGACCCAGTCAACCCTTCCTCTTCTAGTTAAAATGTCATCTATCCAGTCTGGTTCCAATTGCAAGTGATTCTCAATATCTTTTTTTTTTTTTTTTTTTTTTTTTTTGTTGCAAAAACATAGATCTGCCTACTCTGGGGAACACTGAATAGATCAGATACCAAGAACAGAAACTTATCTCTATAAAGGCTGCCGAGTTAGGGGAGGATGCTTTGGACTTTAACAAAATCAGCTATATTTTCCTCTAAAATCATTTCTGTGGTAAATTTTAGTGCATAAATATTAATAAATACACACTATATATATTGAATCATTGTAAGAGTCACAGTGTATTTTTCTATGCAAAAATGTGTCATGACCCATGAGAAAAACACATCTTTCCCAGCTGGTTTACCTGGCTTACTAGTGATGGTTTATGTGTTCCTGAATGTCAAAAATTAAAAATTAAATCCACAACTTTTGTTAATAAAGAAGTCATATTTTCAGATTAAGCAAACTATGATAGCATACTTTCATTTCAGCTTCTTTTTTTTTTTTCTGATACTGGGTTTTCTCTGGAAATAGTGAGAGATCTTCACATGACAGTATGACAGTCTCCTGGGAAAGTGATTTAGCTCTCAGTGACAGGAAGAAAGTAAATGAGCAGAGTGGATGGTACCGGATAGAGAGGAAAGCTCAGCTTGACAGCAAGTTAATTCTAATGTTCGTTTTTTCACCTCATAGCGATTTATAATGATGATGTCGTAATTCATATATGTATCCTATTTCAATAGAATGCTCTTTTTCATTTTCACTGTTCTATTCTTTCATGATGACTTCATGCAGAATTTCCTTATAGTATGCTTCCATTACTTGAGTTAAAAGGAAGAAATAAAATTAGGAACTCTGAAGAACTTTAAATATTCCTGTCTTGTGTCAACCAACATAAAGTAGTTTTCTAAAGAATAAAAGGCATACAGATATAAGTAAAATATGGAAACAAAGAGAGAAAAAAGAAAGAGAGAGAAAGGAAGAGGCTAGGTTCCCATCTGGAGGTCCAGATGAGATGTGGAACCATTCACTTCCACGTCCATGTAGTTGTGGGCACCATTCAGTCCCTGCAGTTGGAAGAATTATGGAAACATACTTTCTGTAAACTAGCAAGGGAGAGGGGAAGTGAGATGTCTGCTATGTCAGAAAAGGGTCTTGAATAAAATGAGTATGAAAGTGAAGATCACAATCTTTGCCTCATCTTATATTAAAAGAAGCAAATTGCCAGACTAATATAATATATGCTTTGAAAGTTGAAATCACTTGAGGGGCCAGCAGGTGGTGTGTTGGTTAAAATATCGGTTCCCACATGTCCAACCATGATTCCAGTCTAGACCTGGAGGCCTGAAAGTCATTCTGGACATGTGTGTGCATGAATGGTAAAAATCCCAAAAGGAGAATGGAGGAGAAAGGATGATCACCTCTCTGGAAGTGACTTCTCAGTTCTTTCTCTCTGTCTCTCCTCTTTGGGAGTATAAATCCCCTATCGCAAAAACCTAAAAAAAAAAAAAAGAAAAAGAAAAAAAAAAGGCATGAAACTAGAAGTCACTTTTAAAAGTTTTCGCATGAATCTTTTTTCCCTCTTTAAAAAAAAAATGTAATTAAAATTCAACTTAACAGCATACAACATGTTTTTTTTCAAAGCACACATTGCGAATCAATCAAGTCAAAGATTATTACCATACACACCATCCACAGCAGATAATTTTCCATTGTTGTGTCTATTAAATACTTTTCTACAGATTTCCTCCCTCCCACATCCAGTATCTAGTCCCTCCTATACAGAGATAAAAGAGGAGACATTACAATTAATGCTACAGAAAGAAAAATTATCAGAAAGAGTACTAAAAATATGTTTTTGCCACCAAACTAGACAACTCAAAAGTGACAGAGAAACATCTACAAACATAAAAACTACCAATACTAAGTCATGATGAAACAGAAAGTCTGATCCAACCTATAATTAATACAGAGACAGTCAAAAATCAAAAACTTCCCAATGAAGACAACTTTAGGACCAGATGACTTCATTGAATTCATTCAATTCTATGAAATAAATAAGAAGAATGAGTGCCATTTGCCCCAAAATTCTTTAAAATAATTGGAGAGGACACTTTACATTTATTTTAGAAGATAGAGTTAACAGATAATAAAGTCAGAAAAAGATAGCTTATGAAACAAAAAATAAAAAGATGAACAGAGAAGCAAAAATCCTGAACAAAATACTAGTAGACTAAGTCCAACAGCACAGTACAGTAAACATACACTATGACCAAGTAGCTTTTATCCCTGGAATGCAAGGATAGTTGAACATATGAAAATCAACTGATATGATTTACCACATGAACATAAAGAAGAATTAAAATTACATGACCATCTCAACAGATGTAGAAAATGCTTCAGAGAAAATTCAACATTTTTTGTGACTAAAACTCTCAATAAAAAGAAAACTAGGAATAGAAGGACAGTACCTCAACATATTAGAAGTCGTAAAAGAAAAATTCAACTATAATAGTCTTGTACTTCACGGTGAAACATTGAAAGTTTTCCTTAAAAGGTTGGAAACAAGGAAAGAATACCTACTCTCACCACTTCTATTCAATAGAATACACAAAGTTCTAGTTAGAACAATTAAGAAAGAATTAGAAGTATCTAAATCAGAAAAGAATTAATAAAATTATATCTTTTCTCATGACATGATTTTATACATGGAAAACCCTAAAGACTTCATTAAGCAAGTACACACACACACACACACACACACACATACACACACACACAAACACACTCAACTCTATTATGGGGTCAGCAGGTGGCATACTAGTTAATGCTCTGGACTCCCACATGACCAATCAGAGTTCAAGTCCTAGACCTGGAGGCTTGAAATTCATACCAGACATGAGTGCTTATGTGCCAAAGTCCCAAGAGGAGAAGGCGAACATATTGTGACATGGTCATCCCCACTGGGAAGGAGGTGATTTCTCACTTTCTCTTTCTCTTTCTTTATCTCTGTCTCTCCAGTGAGTGTGCATGTTCCCTACAACAAAAAGCTCTAAAACAAAACAAAACAAAAAAACCAAGAACAAAAAACAAGTATTAAAAACAAGTATTAGAACTAGTGAATGAATTCAGTAAAACCATGGGATACAAATCAACATACACAAATAAACTGTGTTTGTATATACTAAGAATGAGATATCTACAAAGAAAAATAGAAAGTTAATTTCATTTATAAGAGCACTAAAAATATAATATTCATGAATGGACTTAACTAAGCACGTGAAAACCTAGTATATTAAAAACTACAAAATACTGAAGAAAGACATTAAAAGGCACAATCACATGGAAAGAAATCCAGCGTCATGGATTGAGAGACGTGATATTTTAAAAACTGTTCATTTTATGCAAAACAGCTTGCAGATTCAATCCAATTTGTATATAGATCTCCTCAGATTTTTAATAGAAATGGAAAAAATTATTCTACCACTTACATGGAACCACAAAAAGCATGAATAGCCAGACTGATCATAAGGAGAGAAACGAAGCTTGAGGCAATACACTTCTTGATTTTAAAACACAAAAATCTTAGTGCCATGTGGTGGTTAAGGGTGCTGGACTCTCACATAGCCAACTGTGGTTCAGGTCCTGGACCTGGCAGCTTGCTTTTTCATACCCCAGCCC